ACTAATTTGCATGCTCAGTTGTAGTACTCGGACTGAAACATGGTGGGTTCTTTACTTTCGTAAATACTTTCAAGTTTTGGGGGCCAGTTTCAGCTAGTTTCTTTTTTTCCTTGTTATGTGAGGCGTATGATAACATCCTGCAGTTAAGACCTATTTATCCACTTTTTCAGTAAACTCAATATGAACGACATGGCAATGGAAGAATTTCATATTAATTCAACGAACAAAATTTTGAAGTGAACAGCCGAACCATTCAAATGATGTACTAACATTTTGTGTAAGGAACGATCGTTGAATTGTGTACAACATTTTTTTAATGACGTTTCGTCTAGAATGTGAAGTAACAACATGGCGACCTCCCGAAACCTATATTTACGACTAGAAAGATAGTTGTAAAGTTTTAGCGAGACGTAATGGAATTTTCTGTGGTGCTGAATGAGAAAGTATAAACCTATTTCTAACGTTTTATAACAACTTTCTTTTTACCAAATATTAAACTCGACAACGGCACAGTAATTTGAAGTTATGTTGGAAACTTCCTGGTATTGGAAATCTATAACGTATTGAAGTTCTGCGCGAAGATAGGATTATGAATCGATATGGTATTAATACGTTGTTCCTACCGTGTGTGTATAGATGGAAACACTTACACGAAAGTTGTGTACAGAATGTTTTGTTTTGCCGATAATTCGGAAGTTAACTTTCAGGATTTTGGTATATCTTCTGGTTTCCGAAAACACTTTGTGCATAGTAGTTTCAAAGGTTTCAAACGGGTGACAGATTCCATAAGAAATCTGTTGGGCGTAACCAACTTTTGGAACACGCGTTTTCGAAGTCTTTTTTATTCAGTAAGTAAGTGAACATATTGTCCACTTGCCCAAACTAAAATCCAGAGTGAAATTTGTAATTTTATTTAATTACTCATTAACAGAACCCGTCTCTGATTTTGTGTAACGTGAAACGTGAGATTTACTGGATTCAGCTGGCTGTTGGATATGATGGAATGGAGGGTCTCTGTGGATATGAAAGTGCCAGCTTCGTAACGTAAATTTATAACAATAATTTATATAACAGATTATCATAATTTCATACGTAAAACTGTGGAGATGAAGTTTCCCTGTTAAAGGAGCCCGTCGTGTCATTTTTAACGCGTAAGTAGGATACGCGACCCGTTCTCATTTGCAGGCACTTTTAGGTAATGTCACGGAAGAACAGGCCACGTGCTCTGTTTGCGTATTCAACGTGATCGACCGTGTGTTATGAGGAAGACTTCGGTAAGAATCAGCACAAAGACTATAACCTATATTGAGCGGACGAACTTTCAAAATACGAGTAGTATACAAAATCCGTGATAGATTTTGTTGGCGAATAATGTAATTATATTTTCAATTTAAAAGGGTTTTGACGACGGTAATTAACACTTAAAATTCGTTGTCAAGACTTTTTCCATCGTCTGTTTTTGTTTTGTCTCCGTCTTCAGGTGATTATATTTTGATAATCATGTTGACCATGTTAGCTGGACGAACACTCTGAAGAACGAAATATAAAATCTGTTGTCTTACTTTCGTGGTTCAGTGTTACTCCATACACTGGAATGCCGCAGAACCGAGCAAATCAAATGTATCGTTAGGCAGCGTAAAACTGTTAGCGAGTTGAGGCTTACTCTAGCCTCAATCGACGGATCAAACTTTTGTTTACAAATGCTAGGCTGGTAATCTGCTCAGTTTCCTCGTTATTCAGTATCTATTTATTACAGGCAATTTTACATTATATTTTATTGTCTTATCCTCGTGATCACAAAAAGGAAACGGAACTCAGTTTCCCAATGATAACAAACAACCTGGAACCTTGTATTATATACAGAATGTTCGTAAAATATATATATACGATACACATTGAAGAATACGTCGTTCTCGCCGTTCGGCCCCTGAATAGAGATGAGGACATGTGGTATACCATCGCGATGTCAGGTCCAGTCTTTTCCAGACCAATGGATAGGACGTGGAGGACCTGATGAGTACCTCTCCTACTATTGCCAGATTTAACCCCACCTGACTTCTTTTGTGGGATTACTTGAAGGACGCGGTGTACAGAACAAAGCCAGTAGAAACTCGGTGGCCACTAGTCAGTCAGTAGCTCACCGTTGTCAACTGTGCCACGAAGCTACCGGTGGTCGTTTTGAACACCCGCACTAGATTAACTAATTCAAAAAGTGCCTATGTAATGGTTTAGTTCATTAAAGTGTGTATTTCATTTATTGAATCTGTGTCTACGTCTTTTTGGGGACACGTGTAGTCAGAACTCTCTCGACCTAATGCAGAGGCTTTTTACAACTGCGTTTATAGGTAAGGCAATCGAAACTGGTGAACGCCCAATAGCCGCAGATTACGGTAGGCCCGTGAAGTTACCCGGCTCTAAGATCAGGCTGTGCTGATACCAATGATTTATTTTACGTTTTCGTAGTTACTTAGTTCATTTACCGCCGAATACCAAGGCGAAATGAAGTTCTGCACCACCTCTTAACTAGTGTGATTTTCAATGACAGGGGCTGTTTTAAGGAACCACAAACTATTCGATACGTGGTGTATAAAATTCAGACTTCTGTCGTGTAGTAATACTATGTAGAAAACGTGTTTTTTAATTGCACAGTAATAATACTGCCTCCATCTGTACGTGGAACTTCGTATTTTAGGATACTGATCTTTGCATACACAGAATCTCCTGTTCACTGGTTTTTCGCCACTCATTGCGCAAATCTAAATCCTAAACCTGTTCTGACTGTTTCACCACACGCGCTACGCCAAAAAATCGGGCTTATTTTATTTCCCTATTTCGAGTTTTAAAACACGCGTTCTTTTAAAAAAAGTCTAGGACCGAGCTCTGTAGCCGTGGAAGGAATGCGGAAGCTGGTGTGGGTGGTGATAAAGAGAATTGACTGTGTCTACTGTTTAGAATGAAAGTATTGACCGAGTTCGTCTGTGACCCTTTCGCGAAGTCTACATTTCGTTAGTATCTGTCAGTATCGCCATACAGGGTTTCACACCGCGGAGGAATACTTTCAGGGTGGATTGGCATTGGCCTCGTGATGGGATTTGTCGCTTTTCCTTATTCCATATCTCTCTCTCCCCGTGCGTCGTCCCGCAAAACACTGGAACGAGGAAAATGGAATGAGTTTTCTATCATCATCACATAGTCGTACTTACCGCCGTCTTCGTTGTTCTTGTAGTTGGTGTTACTGTTGAACGTCGCAGTTGAGTGGTTGGCACTCCTGCGTATTCCGGAGATCCCGGGTTTGATTCTGAGCCTTTGGCCGTGTCTCTTGGAGGTGTACTTTGATTTATCTCAGCCATCCAATTAAATTCTGACATGATATATAAAAGGAGCTACGAACTTTGTCCAAATTCTATCCAGTCCTCGTTCAGACCGAGGTTTCTATTTCAAGCTAGGCTGTATCAACTGTGGGATTGAGAAAGCATATTTAAATTGAGAAACTGAAAGTAATGTAGGGATTGCTTCGGATAAAGGGAACCAATAATTTATGGCGTAGGCCTATAAGAGTTTTTTCTGTTACGGGGGGTGGGGGGGCAAAGAATTAAAATGTTAGGAACCACGGTAACGAAACCAAATTGAGTTCAGGGAGAAATTAAGAGCAAAATAACTTTCAGAAATGCTTGATGCAGTTAGAAATCTGTTGTTTCTGTGTCTGATTTCTGAAATTATAAGTTTAAAATATTATAATTGTACCTTCTGTTTTGTATGGATGCGAAACGTGGTCTCTCTTTAATTACGAAAGGGCGTTTGAGAACGGGGTGTTGAGGAGAATGTTTGGACCTAGGAGGGCAAACGTGACACGGGTTTGTAGAAAACTGCATGTGTAGCTCATTAATTTGTAATTTTCTTCGAAATGTTAATAGGATTATGAAATCAAGGAGGACGTGGTGGGCTGAATGTGTAGCGCGCATGAAGTAGCTTATAAATGCAGATTGGAGGATAGTATAAAATAGGATCTCGGGGGCGCGTGGACTGGATTTATGTCGGTCAGGGTAGGGATTGGGGTTCTATACAAGGCGGGAGATTTCTTGTCGTATTTGAGGTTTCCGCGGCAGTGAGGATGGCGATTAAGGTCTTCCGGCATTTGGCGCCGAGAAGACTCGCCGATAGACGCGTGCGTTTTGGTGAAACATTCTGTTTGTATCTTCAAGGATGAAGTGGCATCGCCCTGAGGATGATATTCTTGTGCGTTTTAGCGCCGATGAGTTTACACGGCGCCAGTACCCAGAAAAGCAATATCATTAACGCTCTGTCAGTTTGTCAATAAGGGCTTTTCCTCATGTAGTTAGTTAATTTTTAATTATCAAAATGTTTTTCCACACGAGTTCACTATCAGAATAGGTCGCAGTCTCCCATCTCATGTAAGTGATGCAATCAGGAGGTTCACTTAGGCCTGAATTTATTTTGGTGGAGCGTGTTTCAGTTGTACCTGAGTCTGAAGTATTTTTTTTATTTATTTGTAGTGTTCTGTCTGATGACAGGTCCATATATTATGAACAGGATCCTTCCAACCTCTTCAGGTTGTCAGGGACCTGCTCATACATATATACATTCTTGGCAGAGATGATCAGAAGTGGTTTGCCATTGCCTTCTTCTGTGTGTGAGAGGAGTAATTGTTGGGATGCCACGGAGAAACCGGGGAAGCCCCCGGAGGAAAACTCCGTGATGCCTAGACCACGGCCTTGCCCAACACAAGTTATAAATCTGAGCACCACGGGGAATTGAACCCGGGACCCCAGGATTACAAGGCTAGTGTTCTGACCGCTAGACCACCGTGGAATAATTGGAAGTATACTGGGACATTTGTTTATCGGTGGCATGGCTTGTGATACTTCACAGAATGATAGTGGCGTTGGGTAATGACAGGGGGCATGAGAGGGCTGATGTAGTTGGCATGTCCCGGAACCATGGTAACAGGGAGAATACATGCGTTCTCCGTCTTGTTCCAGGGGTCTGTTCAGTGGCTGATTTCCATCGTAGCATCAGTTGGGTGGAGGCATCTGTCTAACAAGGGTCTATTTGTTACTAATCTACATCGTCTTCGCGACACACTCAGCCTGCTGTCGGTAAGAAATATAAATCATTATTATTATTATAATAATTGCTGTTATGGTCACGATTAATTAGTGCGAGTGTTTCACTGATTCCATCATCGCATCCGTAGAGTGGCGAAATCTTCCTTTCTCCTCAGATCGGAGGCTGAGTCTTAGTGTTTTGATACAGGATGGGCGTAGCCTGTATAAGTGCAGGGAAACCACGGTAAATTGAACGCGAATGTGAAGTGACAGTTTTGGTAGTTAGTGGTAAATTTATTGTACTCGAGTGATTGCAGCGTTGTGTAGAATGAAGTTGTTAATTTGTGAGACTAGAAGTTTGGTTATGGAGTCTGTGCGTCGTAATCCATACTTTCTACTTTCTCTTTTGATGCCATAAAGTGCAGAATAATAAGTTCGAGATAGACGTTTAGAATATAAATAGAAGCGTGTAATATAACAGGGTAAACCTGCATATAGTTGTCTTCTAAACTTGCTGTCTGCAGTTTTGCACGTTGCATAGTGATATTCAGGTTCTCACTGCCTTGTGAGCCCTGATGATGGAAGCAGCAAGCACCTCTGAAACTTCCGTAAACGTCTACCAGATACCACTGCGCAACAACCCAGAAGATAAACTTTGTTCTGAAATCTTTTCTGTGTTATCAGTACTGTCAGATTACGGCGTCTTTCATATTAAAGCTCTTAACTAACTACGCGTTAGCCATGAATTTTGTGATTCTCTGTTTAACAGCAAGTGTTCAAAAATAGTAAGAAATATCGTAAATTCATGAATTTGAAAGGGTTACGAGATGTGCTAAGTGTGCATCGTAAGTTATATTGTGTTCGGTTGTGTATAAAGTGCGCGAAGTGACGCCCGATGTGTGTTGAAAGCAACATGTTGTATGTCGGATATCGGCTGTTGGATTTTACTTCTAAGTTGATCATCCCGAAAGTTTCGGGAACTAAACAGACCAGCTCTGAGTGAAGTGAGGAGTACACGGCCGCTTTCTGGAAAATTTATTTCCCATGTATCGAATGATTTCAGTGTTGAATATCGTATTCATAGTCTGGCCCTCGGGAACGAATTCAGAATGCACGGTTCCTCAGAAGTTAAGTGCCTGTTCTTTCTTCGGTTTAGACTTCGAAGACACATCCTTTGGGATACGTCCAGGGGTGGAACGTTCATGTCAAAACTTTTGAAAAAATAAAAAGTTTTGTCTTATCGGTTCAGCGGTGCTCCGGCATAGCCAGTCAGATAAAATGCGCCGTTAGTCAGCTGCAGTCAGGCAGGTGGTGTTGGCGTTGTTACGCTCGCCGCGAGCGCCATCTCCAACAAGTAAACTACGCAACATGGCCGGACGGACGGACAGCCAACGGAGGCTGTAGAGTAATTTCATAGAGTGACATGTTAACGGTCGCAGTAAAGAGCATTTAGTGATAATCGTGCTTTCAGAAACATTGTTACATAAAAGGTAGACCTGAAGCCTTTCCTGTTCATATTCAGCGTGCTTAGAATTGGTGCATTCATCATCAAGATCTTCCGCCTGCCTACAAAAATGAAATTCGAATTTGAATTTCATACATATACGCCTTAAGATTATTATTATT